CAACGAAGCTGTCCGAAAATTTCGCTTGGTGCTACCGATTAAATTCAGTAAAATTTTCAAACAGATTCAACCAACAACTTCTCTGTAAAAAAACAAAATGGAGGCAGAAATTTTTAAATGTCGTGTGGCCCTTATGATACTTTGCCCGGAAGGTGGCAAATGTACCTGTGATCGATTCATTCAAAATGGTTGATTCTATTTTACTTATTTCACCTTCTTGTCTGAAGGTATTGTTTGAAGAGATAGCCTGTGGAAGGGCATATTATAAAATTGTTTTTAAAGTTATTTAATGATAAACGAAAATTTTTTATTCAAACTATAAATCTCTGACTTAATCTACAACTGAAACTCAATTATACAGTAACAGTAACTTTGTATAGTGCATTTTATCTTTAGTTCCTTATTGTGTTCAATCTGTTTTTCTAAATCTGAGAGAAATAATTTTCATTTTTTGATTTTCGTACCTGCATATTTATAATTTTCCTGCATAAAATGCAATCTGCCGTGTGATACTGTTTCTGGCTGTTAATTAAATCATAAGCTCCTCTTTGTATTCCTAATAATAAATGAATTTTTATACAACTATACTATGTGAAGTTTTTAGTTTTACTGCAAGCCCTCTTTTGCCTTCTGTAAGCTTCTAATTTTCAAAGGTCTTAACTATTTGATTGAAACAAGAAAAGGAGAAGAAAACAAGTTTCAATCTGTTTTCTTTGAAATGTGAGATATTTGGAGAGCTAGGCGCAAGTTCAGATTTTGAAAAAAAAAAATAAATAAATTAATAGGTAATCCAAAAGAAAAAGAAAGGTTTAAAGATAGTCATATTGGATAATCTAATGAAGCTAGTCGCAGTGTGACAATTTTTACAGTTAAACATCAAAGCATCTTTTTTAAGCTGCATAATTTAAGGTCAAAATGAATGTTGACCATTTGGTGCCATGAAATTTAGAAATTCAGACTCATTTTTCTCAAACGAGTAAAAACTGCTTCTTTGTACCCTGACCTCCAAGGATCCTTAAAAAACTTGAGTCCCTTTATTTCAGTGGAAAAACACTTTGAGAATACAAATACGCTAGAAGATGGGTGGAAAATTAGCATTAAGTGCGTTTCTCCATAATATACTGAAAATGTTTAAAGATACGTCCCCCCAAATCCCTCAATTTTGAGAGATGATCAGCTGGTCTCGAATTTTTTGGCAGCACGTACTAAAGTGCATATCATTTTCTATGCTGCTCTTCTCAATTGATTTTGATTGCCAATAAAAAAGAAAAAAATTTGAGGGGGGTAATTATTTTCTGCAACCATCAGCCTATCCGTCAAATGCAGCTTTTGACCTTTCGATAAAGGTCCGGGAAAAAGGACCAGCATTTCTCGTTTCACATATTTTGAGAGTGTTTCACGCCAATTTCTATGGAGTTTAGTGTTTTGAATTTTTTTTTTTATATCGCATTTATAACTCCGGATCTCTTGGCTCATTTAATGTATTGCCGAGTCGTCCTTTTAATGGTCGGTGGGCCCTTTTTGGAAATAGGTCCGGGAAAAAGGACCATCATTTCTCGTTATACTTATCGATGGTGTAAATCAGCAATCACATTGGTAACTCATTTGTGGTGTCTGAAAATCTCCACTTCTATGTTATTTTTTTACAGGAGAACAAATTGACACCATTCCTTGAAGTTTTTGCAGAATTTTCTTTGCACAAAAAAGAAAAATCATGGCAGTTTTAAATAATTGCCGTTAAGTAGTCTTTTGTTTAAAAAATAAAGTATGACAGGAAGTCTGCGACGTCGCAAACCGAGTTATGTGATTGCCGACTTACACCGTCGTTTTTCATATTTAGAATTCCGGATTTCGCTGGCCAGCTCGTACCGACCTACGTCACAGGGTAAACAAACCTCAAGATACAAACACCTCCTTTTCTTTCTCTATGAGTCTTTCTCCTGATGTGGGTCAAGTTCGACAGCTAGTTCTACACATTATTCACCCTGCTGGAATCTGAAATGGATTCTGGAAATGTGACCAGAATTGGCCGCGTTCATTGGCTATTGGCTGTTGGCCTTGACAGTTCCTGGCGGGCGTGGATAGGAATAAAAGGAACAGGTCGAACCGGAAACAAAAGTCTAGCCGGAGACCGGATACGGAAATCAAGTCGGAAACCGGAAACAGGTGAGACAGGCCTACCGCATGGCACGCTGAAAGACCCCCCGAGCGGCAATCGCACAACGCACAAGTAATTTCACGGAAAGTGATATGGAAATTTCGAAAAGTTTCTGAGATTTCGTGATAAATAGCCTAAATTTTCAATATCAGTAGAAAGGCGGTATCGATAAGGGACGTTTTTGGACTAAAAAGGTTATATACAAGGGATAGGAAAATTATCGGAAATTTCCGTGAAATATTTTATGAAATTTCAGAAAGTTGTAAAATTATAAAAACACAAAAACACGAAACAACTTTTCTAGGTCTGAGTATGCGACACACACGAAAAAAACACCAAGAAGCAAAAACCATTTGCATTTCATTAAATTTCTTATTTAATTTCGAAAAATATTTTGCCTTATCTTTCATATTTTTCCGAAAGTTCTTGAGATGTTTCACATAAAATTTCAAGATTTTATTTTTCATGAAAAATTGCAACCCTGTTTTGGGCCCACCCCGGATGAATTTCCTCAACTCTACGACTTTTTGCTCATGAGCGTTCTGCCCACCCAAAAACCAGGGGCTTCAATGAGGCTTTGTAGAGGAATTGTTGACTGTTGCCTTTTAAAGATCTTCGGTCCGAAGATCTTTGAAGGTAACCGATGCGTTGGGGGCATATCAAAGATTAGATTTTGAAATTTTCAATGAATTTCGCGCAGAAATGGCTGGGAAATTAAAGTATTAGCGCCAGTTTGAAGGCCCCAGCTTGTAGGTGGGCTGGACGCTGTTGAGAGCCTATATTTTGCGGAATATATCATGATTTGGTCATTACCAATCTCTTTTCATGTGTAATACTGACCTAAACATGGGGCTGGAGGCAGATTTTGGCGACGGATGCACATTTTTCAGTGTTTGGCAATTAAACTCGCATTTTTCGCCGATGTGACCTCAACTTAGAGAGCATTTTTATGAGCTTGGGCATTCATTCCAGAGAAAATCATTGGCACCATCGCGTGTTTCTGGCAAAATTTTGCACTAAGAACAGAACTTCAAATGCTAATCCCTGACGCATGCAAGAGCTTCACCCCAAATGAAATATATTTTAGATCAAGCCAAAATTGAAAAATTTACGCCAAAAAATTTAGGTAAAGCCAATGATCACAATTGAGTTGAGAGCAGACTCATCATAAGACTCCTTGTATCAAACTTAAGTACTGCATTTCGATGATGTAAGTCCGCAACTACATATCCCCGTTTGCGATGTGACTGACTTCCTGTCATACTTCAATTTTTACATGGAAAACTACTGTAATGGAATGAGGCCATATCACCTACAGTTCTAGGGCCGCATTCCATTATGCTCTCTGGCTCATTTGGTCCAAAAGCCATCAGTTTCGCAAATGCAGGCTTAGGCGAGCATCTTGATGTTTAGAGCATCTATCTTGTAGCACCGATTATCTCGCAATCACGCCTCTGACATCATAGCTCGGTCGGACGTTACAAGAAATATACTCCTGATCTCCGCAGCGCGACGTCGTATCTTCGAGGCAGCATTTAGAGGTATCACCTAGCCAGTGTATCTAGTGTATATCGTTTGTATTTCATCGAGAGATAGATCAGTCTCTACCATTTGACTAAGTGCGTTGGATCCTTTCATCCCCCCATTACACGGCATTACTCAACGGCAATTCTTAAAAATTGCCGTGATTCTTCTTCTCTGTGCAAGAAAAATTCTACGAAAATTTCAACCGATGATGTTGATTTGTTCTTCTTTAAAAAAATGAAATAGGAGCATTAGGAGGATTTTTAAACACCGCAAACGAGATACGTTGTTGCAGTCTTACACCGTCCATTTGCGTTATACTGTAAGTTGAAAATCCTCTACTCACTGCTAACGAACTTAGCTCCGCAGATATGTCAAGGGATAACCATCTTTCAAATTTGTAAATTAAGCTTTAGTTATTTGTATTATATTCTTCTGGGATGCGCAGAGAAGAAAGGAGACAGGGAGATGCTTTTAAATGGCGAATCTTATTGAGCAAGCTATTAAAAAAATCACGATCTTTGGAACCAAACCTCATGAAGAGGATAATTCATTTTTTTCTGTTTTACTGACTCAGAAAGAATAAAAACAGGTAAGTAGCTAGGAGGTTCTTTTCTGCTTTTAGAGTAATGTGCTGAAGTTGAGATAGCCTGACACACCCTTAATTTCTTTTTTAGTAGAATCAACCCCAAAACATCCTCAGGAGTTCGCAACCATGAGGAAGGCGAGAGGGCTCTGATAGAAAATTTGCTTGTTCTCTGATTAAAATATCTTCAAAACACTAGTTAGCAATCAACCAAGGAACCTTCAAACCAAAAATTGAAACATAGGATTTTTCCCCTCGCTTAAAGGACATTTTCACTCACAAACTGACAAAATATTTCGAATTAAACCAAAATTATGATTATTTGAACTTTGCAGTTTGAAAAATGCAGTTAAGAGAGGACGCTTTGGAATAGTTTACAGTGCATAGTTAAAGCTTCAAGTTATCAGACTAGGATGCAACTTGTCTCTCTACACTGGTAAAAAAATGACTGTTACTGCTTGAAACTCTTATTCTTTGGGATCTTGAGGCGGGCTTTCCTGTCGGAAATTTATATTCCAATTTATTCGCGTCACTTAATAAAAATCGTCCATCAAAAGTAATTGCGTCAGGGCATCAAAGTCTTTTTCCTGACAGTCAACTTAAATTGTTGAACTTAATTTAGAATTCTTCAAGGTGAGTTGATTTAAAAATATCTTTGTATCCTTGCCCTCTCAATTTTCACCAATATGGGTTAGAAATAGGTCAGAGATTACAGAAAAGTTAAAACCAAACTTTGGCCATTATAAATATCTATAATTAAACGCAAATAATCGTAAAAGTTGCAATGACACTTTAAATTAAAATTACAAACATGTCGCAATTATTAACACGCACGTACAATACAAGTAACTTATTGATAGTAATTTTACAATGTACAATCATTATGTGATAAAATGATCAATCCAATCCTAGTATTTATATGACTAAGTATCCTACTTACAGTCTGAGATGATTATAGAGATAGTACTCTTAAACAATGTAAATTAAAAAAAGGGGCAGGAAGTATATCAGCAGAACAACTATTAAGAGATGTGATATTTAAAAATGAGGATATAACATTGGAAGATACAATAAATGAAGTCTATGATCAATTTTCACTTTTATCGCAAAGAGATTCCTAGGTTAGATAAAATTTACGCAAAAGAGAGAATAGGAGAGTGGAAGAAAGAGAAAACATGAACATGAATAAGAAAAACTAATTGTGGAGACAAATGGTTAGTAAAGATCAAGAGCAGTTGATGGGGAAAAAAAAAAAAAAAAAACTGAGAATGTTTGTAAAATTGGGAAAAATGAGATTCTTGTGGCTTTCATTGGTGGGCTTCAAATTATAGTCCAGGAGTTAGTGATGAAAATATTTTGATCAGTTTTGGACAAGCTACACATGCATGAGAAATGAGGTAAAATAAAATATGGCTTACAGGTATAAAAGAAAACAATAATTATCAAATCTTTGGTAAAATCAATTCCTTATTATCACCAGGCTCATGATAAAATGAAATTTAAGAGAATAGTAACCAAGCCCTGTTTCAGAATTAAATTGCTTTTAAGCAGTTGAAAAAAGAAAATTGCGATTGTAATACATTTTTAAGGACTAATGCATATCAGAGTGGCATCTTTTCAATATTAATTTCCACATATTGATTTATGCTTGGTTGTAAGTAATTTTAGTAGGTTTTATCACAAGAATGACACCACAGTTTTGGAAAAAGTTAATTGTTTGAATTAAATGTGACCACTGACTGGCCATACAGAGTAGATGTATAGCTCCCAAAAACTAAAATATCAGATAAGGGTACCACTGCTTGGACAGGTGCTGTCGTTTTAATGAGAATGCAACCCAAAATTGACATTTCTATGGCATCTTGAAGTTATAGAACAAAAAAAGGACGATTTAGAACAAATTATGATTTAATTTTTAAAAATCAGTTGCCTGGCACTTCTTACTGAGAGGGCTCCATATGCTATCAATGCGCCTGTAGCAAACTTTAGCTAGAGCCAAAAGAAGAGATGTCTCTTATGGAAAATGGCTTAAAAATTGCAATGAGCGTATTGGGAAAGTCTAATATGCACTTCTAACTTTACAATCTGCAAGAGAAATTCGCGTTTTTCAAGCTTCCTGCATCAAAAATTAAACTCTTGCACAGGTGAGCATTTTGTGAGAGGAGTCAGTCCATCCAACCCTTGCGCACTAGGATGCTACACAATATCCGACATGGCTGATGCTTCTGCAAGAAAATCGTGAGGAGGCATCACGGCCTTTATCAACGCAAGGAAAATGTAAATATAAAAACGGCGCTTGATAAAATACCGTCTCGTTTTGACGGATAAGCATCAGCCATACAGAATATTGCATGGTATCCTGGTGCACAGGGTTTGGATAAACAACTCTGACGAATTGTTTACCGGTGCTATAGTATCGATTTAGGAAAGTTCAAAAAAACACAAATTTCTTACGCAGATTGTGAAGTTAAGAGTGCAATTCAGACTTCGCCAATGCGTTCACGGTGATTTTGGAGGCATTTTCTATGAGAAACAACTCTTAGTTTTGCTCTAGCAAAAGTTTGCAACAGGCCTATTGGGCAAATAACTAGCTGTAAATTGTTGAAAATTTCCTGAAGGAGTGCTAGATGTGTTTGTTACATCAGGTGAATGGGTTAAGAAAAAAAAGGGAAAATTGAAAAAAGAGAGGAAAAAAGAAAAAATTACTTCCAAGCAAAATGGCACGATAAGTAAGTTTTACTCTTTTATAGCTGAAAATATGAGTACAGCTACAAAGTTGACAGCACTTCAAAGCTTCAAACAACAGACAGGACATTCCCACTTAACATTTAAGTTTGCTTTTATCTCCCCTGGTTCTAGTGGGTTCAAATTATTTCCAAAACGTTATGAATGGATTTGTATATATGACAAAGAAGAATCTACTATAAAATGCTGCTAAATTTGATCTATGATTCAATTTTGCAATACTCAGATCAAAAACAAGGATTAAAGTGTTTTTCCTCTTTCTCCACTTTGTTTTTCTTTTCTTTTGTTTTTTTTCTTACTCACTTTCCTGGGATTAATTTCGAAAGTTAAATATTTTTTGTCCACAGGAAAATATATACTTAACTTCATGATCTTATTTTTGTTACATAGGAGGGGTACTTTTGTTAAATAAAAAATCTTGATCATTAAAGGTGATTTGATAAGATTGACACATGCTGGGAAAAAGCTAATGTAAAAGTACCGGGTAAAGCGCTGATGAGAGTTTTGATTTCCTTTTGAACTACTTAAATGCATTTATCCTGTGGTCTAGGCAAATCAAATGCTTGAAAGTAATTGTTTCATTAAATTAATAAAAAAATAGTAGACACGGTGAACAGTCTTCCCTACAACGTAACAGCTTTCGATGCCTCTACATTATTAAAAAGAAACATGCAGGTAACTTTGACATTTCAGTAATTTACACATATTTACAATCTTTAAATTACTCCATTATTCACTCCTACTCTTAGTTATCATGGTGTTACAGGAGGGCAGAATAGAGAATTCAAGGGCATTTTTTGTGATTTTAACATTCAAAGTAATGGTAAATTTGATGCAGGGTCACTAAAAATTATCGACAAAGTAAAAAAATTAAAAATAAAACAAGATAAAAAATTCTTGTTGAGCACTAAGATAAGAAAATCTCAAATCTTGTGTTTGATATTTTGATTGACTTTGCTATGGAAGTTTTCTTGAAGAGATAGACTTTATAAAATGGCAGCTAGCTATCCACTAAAATTTTCAGACAAGGGAAGCAAAATCACACTATAGCCTTCAAATTGTCAAGGCTTTCGCAAGCATGGTCCAAAGATCTCTGAGACTGGCGGTACAGGAAGTTGTAGAGGAAGCTGTTATGAAGGACAGGTAAGCACTAAATAAATAAGATTTGCAGAAACGGTGCCAGCTGAAGCTGACATAATGGAGAGGCATAACTCTTGGTTCTTCAGAAGAAAAAAAAAAGCAACTAATTTTTGAGCAAATAGACAACTTCAGTCCATAAAAGGAAACACCCTCTGGAAAAATGAGGAGACTAAAAAAAGAGGAACAAGAAAAAGTTTTAAAAGTTGATGATGTTACATTGAAAGAGACTGATTACCATGTAATGAAAGGCTGGATAGAGATTACCTACACAAATGACAAACAGGATCTGTTCCTCCAAAGTTAAAATGATTTTTAGGATAGAAAATCATTAAAAATCTAATGAACAGAGTACAAGCACAGAGTCCTACACTTGTCTGATAAACACAGCTGTCGAAAGAAGAGTAATTGAATTTAAAATATTTGATACATAAATTGAAAAAACCAGTTTATAGGAGTTTTTTAAATTTGTTAAACCTTTCAGAAATTTAATTGGTTATCAATAAGCAGACAACCCATATCAAAATTTTTCAATTAACTTCCTTCTGCAAGCTTTCTAGTGAGGGACACTCATGAATAGGTTAGAAGTTACTTTACAAGGGGAAAATAATTAAAACATTATTATTTTGCAAACTTTAATTTTTAACTGGACAAAAACTTCCTGAAAGGCCGAACATCCCTGTGAAGATTCACTTCGTTGCTCTAAACAGAAAAAGTATTCCTTCTTATTAGACAATATTTTCGGTTTGTTATGATTTATCAGATTAGATGGTGCTTACTTTTAAGATCCTTGATCTTGGCTCACTTAACATAAATTTTTCTTGGGAGGGAAAGAAAAAAAAAAAAATTTGCAACCTGTGAGTAAACATAGGGCTTTGTTAAGATAACATCATGGTAATTCACTCATTTTAATTAATGTTCCCATTATCACAGAAGAATTGAGAGTTCTTAATTTAACCTGTACATCCAAGACCTTGACATTAATTGAGAGACTTCTCTATTCACAACCTAATTTGAACAAAAAGGAGTTTGACAGTTTCAAACTGGAGGAAAAAAAGAAGAGATAGTTAAAAATATAAAGTTTAAAAATCGATACCACTAGAATTAAGTTTCCACTATTTTAGCATCAAAATTAAGAACAGAGAGACTAAACCAGTAAGTGATACAGAAATATTTATGTACTTATACTTCGCATACACTCCATCATTTAAATATTTTAAGTTATTCATTTCCTCCAGCGCTTCATAGAGAGAGAAAGATTAAAGTTCAGCAAATTTTGTTTTTTGGTGAGATGAAATGAAAATATTCCAGCTCAGAACAGGATAGGGGGAGGGGGGATATACAAGATCTAAAAAACAGAAATATCACAATACATAGGTTCAAAAATAGTATTATGCACATAAGTGCTTTTTCTTCTTCCCTTTTGAAATTCTGATTCACCAACATGAGCTTTGAAGGGTTCTAACATGAATTTTCATGAAAATTCAAGGAGGACTGCACACAGACAGTGGACTAAGATCCAATCCCAAGCTTCTTCAAACTCGGCTCAAAAAGGGTGGCGAGCATGTTAATTTTCTTTAAATATGAGAAGCCCAATTCCTACATTACTTTTCCTGTATTTTTTTCTAGAAATCACTTAAATTTAAGTTGAGCTTCACTTACAGGAGACCAAAAAGAGGAAGATACATTGATTGACTACTATCCATACTTTGCGCTTGAAAAAGGCGGAAAACTAAGGGTCATGACAAAGTTAAATTAGAGTACAATAATTGAAAGTTCCCCATTAAACAATGCAACTATGTAATATTTGCTCATACGAGTATTTTGGGATAAAAACTAACATCGAAACAATTCATGTGTTTTAAAAAAAAATCTAGCCACAGAAACTTACAATAACACAGAGAAGCTTCCATTACAAAGCTAAAATTGATAGAAAATATTAAAATATACATCATCCTTATCACATATTTCTAAGCAAAAAAAACCATTGTTCTTAGAGCCTTACCTCACACTTCGATTCAGTATTTGTTCCATCAAGTTTTAATCAAATTAACAGCTTGCCTCTTATCGTTAGACAGCCAGAAATAATTCTGAAAACTTTGGAGCAGTTTTTTTGTAATTACTTGATTCTTTCAAAACTAAAACTAGAGAATACGCTTAGAAAATAGATACAAGATCTAGAGGGTCTGAATCTGTTGAGTTTGAACAAAGTTAACTTGGTCCTTAAAAATATCAATAAGAGCTGTACAGAATTTTCTGACAGTTATTGAGAAGATTCGGCAAAAGTTACATGAAAATTTAACATAAGTATTCAAGATAGAAGACGGGCAGCTTGTTTTGACATATTGGTGGACTTAGTTATTTAAGCCTCATTTGAGACCAGTAAATATTTGCTACATCTTTTAGATTTGATAATTCATTGCTAGAGCGAGAAAACACTGACTTCAGACTCTTTTGGCTCATTGACAGGCACGTCGGTGATTGAGCACTGAGCGGTAGTGTGTCCAGCCACCAACAAGCATATCCGTTAGACTAAAAATGTCAGGTGAGGCAATATAAAATTGCATACGAGTGAAATCTATTCGGAACTGGTTTTGACTTCTTTGGTTATTTACCGACTGGCATGGAACTGCGAGAAGGGAAAGAAATATCACAAGTCACAGCATAAAATCTAGCATTACTTATTCTATATTATCTCACAGCATTTTCCCTACACTAAAAGACAAAAGAATTTCTTTCATGGCTGAAACCCATCTCCTTTTGTTCAGTTCGTGAAGAGGTTCCAGTATTCTTGCAGAGAGCTTAGAGCAAAGACAATTATTTTATCTTTTATTTACAGTGAATTCTCTTCATAAGTTCATTCTCTACAGAGGAGTTTTCAACAAAAGTTTTTGTTAAAAAAAGAAGAAAAAACTAACTATATTATAAAAAGCTTGATTCGTCTTGTGAATAAGTAGACCAGTATGTCAAAGTCAGGTTTTCATTGTTTTTTCTTAGACGCTCTTGTAAATTTCGATTAAACTTTAAAGTAAAGAGTTATACAGAATATTACGCTTGTTTTCTGTTTTCTTTCCTTTAAGATAAATATTTTTTCTTGGTTCCAAGCAGTATTCTGAAATGCCTCAAAGTACAAACTAAGTTTTTTCGGCAGACAGCTTTTGCTCAATTTCTTTGTACAGTACACGTAGCTTCAAAATATCACAAAATTTTAAAGATTGAAACAAGCTCTCACTGTCTTTTTTTCTTCCCTGATCTAACTTCATGTCAGCTTACTGCATGTAAAATGTGGATACTTGCATGTAGGTATTCAACATACCGACTGTTAAACACGATAAGCTTTAAAAAGTTTTCCTGTTTGTGACTTCTGCGAACATTCTCCCAGACACATTGATGATTTACTCTTGAACGAGAGGTAAAAGTCTAAAAGTAAAAGTGTACGAAAACAATTCGATAACTGTTGAGGAACTTCTGGGAAAATTGTGGTAATATTGAGGCAAGGAATTACACAGAAAATGTTTGCTGTTCATCACTCTCCACAAGAATAATTAAAACCTAAAGTCATACACGGAAAAAAATAGGTTGTCTCTAACAGCTAATGCGGTATGGTTGAAGAGTAAATAGCTGTGAGAACCAACAAAAATAGTTGGATTCACCAGCCTTGTTGACCGATGTGACCAAACACAAATCCAATGTACCTATACGCCTAAATTAAATCCAACTGTTGCATCTTTAAGTGGTGCAACCAGCAATGTATGTTATCATACCCTCACAGCCAGCACAAATCTTATGGCAGATGTTGCTGTGGCTGCGATGGACGGGTTAACCATCTTGAAAAAGCTGAACTGGCCGTCACAAAGGCGACCCAACCGTTAGGTACAGTCAGCGCGGTGAGAGCTCCCGCCTGACTGAGCTGCGGTCCGGCATTTTTCCTTTGTCACTTAATCAGTTTACGAGCTCATCACGTTGCCGTTCGGAGTCTGTGTGCTTGGTTTTATTTATCTATATTAATCCATGTGAATTTACGCGTAATTTGCACAAATTCGTGTTTAAATCGTTTCTAAAGCTACCGTCTTCTCTTTAAATCTATCTGTTTTAACTTGTTCTCGGATATTCATTTTAGGGGGCTCCTGGCCCCCTATTTTCCATTAAAAGCCCTGAAAAATTGCAGCAATGACCGCTGTCCATTTTGGCAAAACCAAGCGGGCAGCGTAGCCCTCAAAATGGGTCACTTTGACATAAATGCTGGGCGCTGCGGCCCACGGTGGATCGAGTCATAGGGCAGGCCGGACATGGCACATCACGCGACTTGGTTTGCTTATTTACGTAGTGTTTTCGCTCATAAAACAAAGCAGGATACATGATTCTTACGTATTTTTCATCGCAGATTTCATTTTTGATGACTGTCTTACTGATTATTGGGTTTAGATACGTATTTTGGCACAATTCCAGATAAATAGAGAGATATTGTTAAACAACAGATAATAGTTTAAACTTTCTACACTCATTTTAATCGGAGTTTTAAGTGTTCGAGGGACTTTTCTCTCCGATAAAATGTTTAAATATCGTGTATAAAACGTTTATTACTCATCTATTTTACCCTTTCCCCTCCCCTCCCCCAAAAAATGAATTAAAAGAAATCCGAAAATTTTGAGAGGAAACAGAGGACCTCCTTTCTCCTTCATTCCTGAAGGGGCACCTCTTCAGCTTTCTTACAAAAGAAAATGATAATGGGGAAAATATGAGAGAAAAATACAAACCAAATACACATCAATCAACACAAATCAAACATTATCCGAGCCTTCCTAATTAAAGACCCCGCGAGTCACTACTGTACACTGTCTTTTTTTTATACTTGGGTATCTAATGGAGCTTCTTCGGCTTCATGATTGCTGCTGAAGCTCAAATTACCTCAATTTCCTCTATTAACTTCTAATTTTCCGAAAAAATTAAACATAAAAAAAAAAATCCGATGTCAAAAAAATGCAAGTTTTTGGGAAATAGTTAGGAGATAGAAAAGAATTTAGGCCATTTTTGACTTTAGCAGCAGGCAGTAGATGAAAGATGCTCCATTAGACACAAACTTGATATAATTTTCCCGTCTTTCCAGACGCAAAGCAAACAGATTAGTATCATATGCGTCGATTAGGACATTTGAGAGGAAAACCCCCGTTATCTGAAACAATGTGGACATTTTTTTAACCACGCGCGGCATGTTTTTCCATGTATTTTAGTCTCCTGGATTCGAAAATGACCTTGGTTCCTCTTCACCATGCACCAGTTTTGCGGAAAATCACATTTCCCGAAAAGTCCATTTTAAGTGGAAAATCTCAATTTTCCGGAAAAATGGTGGATGTAGGGGAAAAACCAAGGTCATTTCAGGGTGCGCTAAAAATTACGTATGAATCATGTATCATATGCCCAAATTTTCTTTGTTGCAAACCTGTAGAATTCAAATTCTCTCGAGCCACAATTATGCGAATTTCACTTTTCCAGAATCATTTGCGCTTTATTCCCAAAATGGCACTTTGGGGCAGCCAATTTTTCTTGATAATGAATCTTCAGGGAGCAGTTAACACTGCTATACCAAGGATTCCCTGAAATACGCGGAAATAGCTAGTTAAAAGTCTACTTTTATTATTTTTTTTATGGTTTTGAGGGAAGTACTTTTAAGCAGGAATACCGCGCGTAGAAATGACGATATTTTAAAATGTTATCAGTGAAATATATTCTACTTAAAGAGGAGAGTAAGCTTCCATTATCAGAAATTGTCATAAATCTACTGGGAGGAAATGCCAACCGGCAAACGATTTGTCCCGAAAGAGGCAATATTTCTCGAGTGCCGCCTGAGCCACTTTGGGAGGCTGTATGCGCTAAATTGGGATTGAAAAATTGAAAACCAATACCTGTATCATAAAATATAACTCTTTGGGAAGACTTTTACGTCAATGAAATGACTATTTGTGAGAAACGCCCATGTCTGACTTTTTGCAGGGTTCGATCCACCGTGCGGCCGAGCGCTCGGGTTGATCTAACCATCTTTGCAGGGCTGACCCAGCCGCGCGGCATGAAGCCAGCGTCACTACCTGCTGGTTGTCGATCTGCCCAACAAGTTGGTTGGCGCGGTATTCAGCTTTCGAAGATGGTCGAATCAACCATCTTCATGGCTGCACAAGACAACCTTTTTTTTCCGTGTACACATTTTTGTAGGTCAAATTCACATAAAATTCAAGATCAAAACCTATCTAAGTAATAAAAGTTTAAAACTCTAGTTAAAATTAGAGAATCTATGTACAAAAAAATAACTGCTGTGCATTTAGCAATCATACGCTGCCTTGCCATCAAAGAAATAATTTGATTGGAATTTTTTGCAGCGATTGCATTTTTTGAGAAACGTGGCAATAATTACGAGAGTATAACTACAAAAATCTTGTCTTGACAAAATAACACCAATTGGACTGAAAAGCTAGATTGGAATAGAGGCTTACATTTTTAGCAAGAAAAGAAATATTGAGATTCATATATTTACACAAATCTTAAATCAACTAAAAAAAATCATTAGAAATTAAAAGAAATTCGTTAAAGCACCCATTAGAATGACTCTCATCATTCACTGAAACATACGCTTAGACTTATCAAGCGCATCACATCAACACACCAATAAAACGGACAAAACAAGAACTCAGACATGAGGGAAATTATAATTTTGCAATTAAAGAAAATGTAGAGTAATATGTGTAACAGTATCAATAATACGGTTAAACTAGAGTAAAACTTTGATTAAGTTCTGATTTAATGTATCCATAAAGATATATTAGAAAACTAAAGCTTTTCCCTTGAAAAATAAAATGAATTACTGATTTTTAAAAATCAGTGAAATATAGTAATGACGATAATAACATCAAGGAACTAACAGCAGATTAAAATCTTAGAGATAGTAGATTTGAAAAACGATTGTTTGAGTCTGAATAGAGAGTAATTGCTTTTGAGAACATTAACTACAGGAAATCCACTGAAAAGAGTCTTTTCCAAACCTGGAACAGATTTTTATAGAAAATGTGCGTTCAGCTTCCTATAATCGGTCTACAATACCCAGTTCAGCTATTTTAAAAAAGTTAGTCCTCATTTAAAAAAAATTCAATATGAATCAAAGCATTTTCCAACATTTCCAGGATAAAAAATTTGAATCTGACTCAAAAAATGTCAGCACATTGCTGAAACACTACCTACACTATGCATATATACAAACGGATACTTATTTTACTGACGTAGATTTAACGCAAACATAGCTGCAGTATGAGTATACTGCTGAGGATAACTTGACTTATAAAACAATTATTACTAGATGCTTGGGACTGAAACCGGGCACAAAATAACAGACGCGTCAGAAAGCACAAGCGTAGAATTACAAGATATTTACACTAAGGAAACGAGACAAACCAGTCTTGACCATGATTTTCCTCGCCTTGTGATTCAATCAGATCACAGTCATTGATTTAATCCGTCTTAGAAAAGATTAGTTCCGCTTCGCTGGATGACTAGAGGTTACACTGCCACAGTATCATAGGTTGTGCTGAGTCCTCCGTTTTGTTGGAGGTACTGTTGGTGGTTTCCTTCGTTTCTGAAAAACATTAAAAACTCAGCTGGGTAAATAAAATAATGAGAGAGATAAGAAATAGACCAAAATGAATATAGATGAGGTTTTTAGCTCACAACATTCGAGGTTTGTTCTTCATGACATCTCCCTGTTCTGTTCTCCCCAAGTCTAGTACAATTTGTCGCTGCCAATTCCCTGTCAGCTATTTCATCGCAAATAGTTCTTTGTGTGAACAACTCACCGCCAGAATATTCATCACCATTGGAGAGTTGAAGGTGGTTAAAAAGAGGTTCTCTATCAATAGTCAGTCTATACCTTAGTAAAACCTGAAGCTCACTTGAACAAGAGAAATCATTTGTCATTATCATCTTTTGTCTTGCGTGCTTTGATTTTGCTGCACTGTGCCGAGTCTGTTTACCTGGTAATCAGTCTCGGTCTCGCAATAATAGCGTAGCAACGGCTCGTTTTTATTTTTAATTTATTTTCCGGTTGAAAATGAAATTTTAACTATTTTGAAACGTTTCCGGGTTTTTTTATCCTTTGTTCTTTTTTTTGCAACCTTTTCCTCAAATTAAGTTGTTCTTTTATTATTATCTTTGTTCCAACCGCTGTAAAATTTTCTTGAAAGATCTTATTTTTAACGGGTGACCTGCCGGGTCTGGAAAACTTCCTTTGAGACTTCTGTATTTATGGAATGAGTAGGTAAAGATCCCCTTGACTGCGAGATCTTTTAGTTGTTCAATGACTTCCATATTCTAGCCTTTGGTAGCTTGAGGAACATTAGTGTGGTTTGCAAATAACTACGATTCTCCTCTGTAAGAGCACTGGTGGGACACTAACACATCTTAACATCTTCCTGCCATATCTCCTACACATCTGGAACAATGTTAATTTGGTCACTTAATTCATCACTGTCAACATATTTTTTCCTTTCTCAATTTGTATACATTCCCAAGTAGCAGTGATCGCGATAAATAGCGATTTTATTGGTTGGTTATCGCGATTATATTAGTGGCAATATATCAAGATATTATCGTATTAAAAATTGCGGAATATGGCGATAAAATCGCTACAAATCGAAATTTTTGGTTTGGTAAAATTGAGATTAATTTTCTTCCATAAAATCGAGATTAAATCGCCATTTATCGCGATTGTTATTTCAAAAAATTTTCGCGATAAATTGTCGATAATTGTCGAATAAAAGCGCGATTTTATCGCAATAAGATCGAGGATAATTGGTCAGATGTTGATGATCCCGGCAATTTTATCGCCTATAAAATCGCGATATATATCGATTTTTCGGTGGAGAAATGCTACTTGGGTTTAGTTTCTGGTTAATCCATTTGATCAGAAATAGACATCGATGCACTGATACAAAATTTCAAACCCTTTACACAAGCGATGAACATTTCGGAAGGGAATTGGTGTACAGGAAATAGGGTACTAGTCCAAAGATTAATTGTACAAAGAGAGAGCCGTCTATGATGAATTTTACAACAAAGAATTGGCCGTGCTGAATTGTTTGGACTTTCCCCAGGGAAATTTGACTCTAAAAAAGTGACGGCAACAATTTATAACCTTCAGCTTGACTAAATTAAATACTGCATGCTCGGAGGAGTTCAAATATAGGACGAGCAATGGCATTTTGATACAGAGGTTTTCATTGCAATTGATAATTAGACAGGGTTGACATTCAAATGCACCAATAGGAGATTCCTCATCAAAATTTTACATGAAGAACACAGCGGACACCTTAAATCATTTTGAAATTGGACATCAAATTAAGAAATCTGAATTTCTGTGTTCAACTTTTCAAAATTCACACCTGTCAGATAACCATTGACCACCTGAATAAAAAGTAAGCTTAAATAATTGCAGTCTGCTCTCCGAGGATTGTATAAAAGTGCTGAACTGCTCTTGACTAGTTTACGGGTGCCATTTCTCAAAGTTGCGAGAGAAGTTGTGTTAATCAGGCTCTTATTAATCGAAATTCTGGAAACTAGGTGGATGTGGAAACAAGTAAGGTCATATTTGGACCTACTGCTAAAAATTCTGATGCAAAAATCTAACAAGTTCTTAGTGTTTTTTCCGGTGCAGACCTGTGTTATCTATAACAACTTCAAGTCTTGCTTCTGCAACCAAGAAGATTAGATTCTCAAACATTTTATACGTGGGGTATCTCGAAATTAAGGTCTCCATAGATTTATCAAGTAAATAAAAGCATTTAATTTAAAAAAGTATTACATGGTAGGAAAGCTAATATCCTATGCTATGTTTCTATGTAATCACCATTTTGATCTACGCACTTTTGGAGTTGTGGCAGCAGTGTTCCTAGCCACTGCCACCTGGCGGAAGAATCGCGCCACCTTTTTTTCACGTCGTTATCGTCGTCCAAATGTTGTCCACTCGAGTGTTACTTCAATGCTGCAAATAAGTGGCAGTTAGCTGGGGTCTAGATCTGGGCTATCGAGGAGATGATCCAGGATACTCCATTTTCCAAGGAATTCGCTGGAAGACTGCACTCGTCGCTGCTCCTGACCCTTCATCACCATTCATGGAACCCACCGAGTGCATACTTTGTGGTAATGAAGTTTGTCCATCAAAATTCGATGAATAGTGGCTGGAGAAACTTCAAGAACCAAAAAAAGCAAGCTCCTATAATCATCCTTCCATCTTTAAGCATTGCTGCTTCAATCTTTGCAGTTGTCTCATCAGAAGTCAACGGCCGGCCGCATCTTTCTTTGTCATGATCGTTGGTGCAATCTGCTGCAAATTTTGGACACTGTTTGCGCACGTTTTTAAGTCTATAACCTCGTTTCCGTAAACCTCCACTAACTGATGATGAGTATCAATGGAGTTGACACCCTTTGCATTTAAAAACTGTATCACTCTACGCTGACGACGCGAAAAGAGAGGTGGTGCGATTCCTCCGCAAGGTGGTGGTTCGCACTGCGATGAGGGCTAGGAAAACTGCTGCCATGACTCCAGAAGTGCATGGATTGAAATGGTGATTTTGTAGAAAAATAGCTTAGGATATTAGCTTTCGAACTATATGATACTTTTTTAAATTATATGCTTTTACCTACTTGAAAAATTTATGGAGACATTACTTTTGAGATACCCCTCGTACAAGAAAAGTTTCATTGACTAGTAGGTAGCAGTGCATGATTAAGGCAACAGGATCCATCTACATAAGATATTTGAGAATAGCACATAACTGCACATCAGTTTTCTATGCAGATCAAGTCTCTTTAAAATTGCTTCTGCAGATTGAAACCCATTCACTCAATAATGTCCGATCAGCCCATGAAAGTGAATAGTGCAGTGTTGAAACTGAGATAAATTTCTACTCTACAAGTAAGAAAACCAGACAGACAATGACTTACGGTTTCCTGAGATATGCAAAAAACACAAATCACAACGATTACAGACATTACAAGACAAAACCATTTTTACTCCTTATCTAAATGACTTTTGAAACCATTCCTACTTATAAATTAAAATTCATGCAGTTGCATTAAATTGATACAACGGTCAGAAATCCAAACCCTGCGAGCTTATTTTCCTTTTTTTGAGAGGGGAGAGGACCTCTATTCATAAAAAGTCTCAAAATAGGTAGTATAGGTACATTTTTAAAAAAAAAAAATTTCATGCATTTACAAAAGTGCTGAAACTAATCAAATGAGGTTATCTTGAAATTTAAGCTCTGCCAAAGGACTTGAGTTTCTGATTGATAAAAATATCACTTTGCTGACAGAAAGGTGAAATTAAAATTAAAATTCACCCATATCCTGAATTTAAAAAAGGTAGTAAAAATACATGGGTAACTTTAATCTCTTCGGCTTGACTCTTGAGAGACACTTCATCTCTACAGAATTAACGGAAGCCTTTTTATAGCACTTGACAATGATTCAAACACATTATAAGTCCGCACATAAATAGGGGAAAAAGAGAAGTCACCGAAATTCCCAAAAGCTTAGGAAAAAATAAGAAAAACATAGTCCTATACTAAAGCGCATGATTTAGAGAGAATGTGAAGGCAAACAGTAGACTTCACGAAACTTTTCGTTGGGAAAAGAACCACTTTCAAAACTAGTTAATCCCTTGTGCTTGGAACAAAGAGAAAATTGTGAATCAGAGACATGTGAGATCGCCAACCAATTCTTTTGAGCAAATTCTTTAGACTTCTTAATGAAACTCTCTACAAGCTGCATTTTTCTTTTGTCAACTCCATTTTTCAAACGATAAACAAGGGTTTTTATCCTATGTTTTAGTTTTGTTTTGTAGTTCTTTGATAGCTGGAAAAAATAGCAAAAGCCAAGAGAAAATACTGACCTCTCAATCAGTTTTCGCATCTCCTCGGTGGTCATGCCATCCTTGGAGTTTCCTCTCATACCCACTGTAAGATATAAATTAGTTTGAAAGTTAAAAAGATGATTCTATAGGTCCAAAACGCAGTAAATATTAACGAATAAATAAAGAATATAGATTTAACAGAAAAAGCTGGGAGAAAGCATACCTAGAACTTTGAAAACTGCTCTGAAAGAAAAACAAATAAGTGAAATAGTAATAACAGAAATCATTATTTAAACCACTGTAAGGAGGAGATGATTTCAAGCATTAGATATTACTCTTATTAACGCAGTAGCACCCCAAAGAAATAGAATTTTGGATTATTTTCAGGATCGATTGTTAAAGGGAACTGAGAGGCTGAGATAAAAGGGATATGGAAGTTTTTTAAATACATGTTTTTCAGTATCTCTCCTCTTTCCGAATTTTTCTTTGATTGTCCAAGCAAAGCAAAAATAAAAACCAAACAATAAAATTTATTTTAAACTCCTATTTATTCTTTATTAATATTCTTTCGTAAAAAGGTACTTTAGCAGACAGCAACTTTGAACATTTCTAAATCTCTCTGAAACTCAATGACTGGGTGAAGGAATGATAAGAAGAAAATATAAACAAAATATGACGACAAAAAAAATAAATAAATAAATAAGTAAAAAAAAAAAAATAAAAAATCATTTAGAGGGAAAGAACAAATTAAACATGACTAAACACTTGTAGAAACACACATTAAATTTCCAAAGAGAGGAAGAGAGAGAGTGAGAGGGAGAAAGAAAGAGAGAGAGGGAAGCTCTCAGAATCACAGTCCACAAGCAAGATTATTGTATGGAACTTGAAGAGAAACAGGCTGGACTTAAAACGGCAAAGAGTCAGCATTTAAATACTTCAGTTTATTTATAGAGTTGTTGATATTTTAATCATTTTGATAAGATTCTGCAATATAAAATTGGAAGACTACAAAAACAAACACACTCTCACACACTAACACAGGAAATTAAGAGAAACAGTCGGATAATGCAGAGACAAATTTGTGATTTCCTTCTTCCTCTCTTTTCTATCGTTTGAAAGACTTGGGTTAGATTGAAATACACCTTATTCTTCAGCACAAGAATTAGCTTACTTTGCATAAAGCAGTCATTTCATTGCGAAGGATTATTTTCATTTAGTAAAGGCTGCCAGATTGGAAGCTTGAAATATCAGGCCACTCTTAGGCTTTACTTCAAATAAATCAGTGAGTCTATATTCCGATGAAAAGAGGTTCAAAACATTCTTCTATTTTTGTAACTGAAATATCTTTCACTGTTCACTATTGAGAAGTATTTAATAAAAATGTTAATAAATAAATACATTTTTGGTGACAGAAATAATAAATTTTAAAGAAAACAAGGCAATAGGCAAAATCTCGATCCAGGATCAGAGATATGGCAGCTGTGGTTTCTTTAAATTTCTTCTTTCTTTTTTTCTTCTTAATTTCTTAATTTCTTCTTTCTTCTTCTATCTTCTTTCCTCTTTAGTTGAGAAAAGATTTTTGATGCCATTCTCCGGGCTCTTTTGTTTCTTAATCATTAAGTTTGTGACTAGCTTAAATACTATCTACAGTCAAAAACCAATACCAAAAATCTGATGAGAAACCAAAATAACACACAAAGTCAAGTTATCTATCTAAATCAAGAATGATTACAGGAGGTCTCATGTTGAAAGAGGGCAGTCGTTTGTTTTCTGTTTGCACACATGACTATCCATCACTCCTCCTCATACAAAAACAAATCACACAAAATTATGCATGATATATTTCAATGATCACTATTTCTCAGTCTTTTTACCAAGAATCAACGAGTCAAATGCTCCCATGCAAATAAGAAAACGGACAAGCCGGTCCAAAACCAAACAACTGCCATCTTACCTGATAACACCTCTGCATCTAACTTACATAATTTCAGACAACTCACAACAGGATGCTTAAAGAATATATTCGTAAAAGAGCCAACTTGAACTCAGCGTGATAATAACATAGAATAAGCTACTTAAGAATTTAACAAGGGCAAAGTTAATCTCAGCAAAAAAATAATTTCATGAAAAATTAATTGGAACAAGATTCTAATATAGAATTTAAAGAGAGTGGGCTATGTGAGTGATGCAAACACGATAAGTGCACAATGTTTTAATTGATGGACACTTAGCATTTCCAAGCACTTTTTGTTTGAATGATGTTGAATGCACTGGAGTATTTTCAGAATTTGTTTAACTTATCATTCAATTTGTTTATTTATTTATTTTGTGTATTTTCTGAGGACAAACTCATTCTTTCCTCCAAATTATGTCCTGTCAAGTAATAAGCTTTAACTTTCCAAAGTCAAATAATTAGGCATAAAACACATTAAATACTAAAAAAAAAGGGTTATCTATTGCCGTAAAATTCATGTTAGCTCTAGGAGTGTCAAGATTCTTCTTTCAGACCTTTCGAAACGTCCACAAAATGAGATGGAAACCATCAAAGCTCAAGACCATGATGTGAAGAGAAGCTTCCATTAAGAAAGACATTTTTGGCAATGAAAAATTTTAAGCCAGACTCTGACAATAATTCTAGGTTTTGAGGTCATTGAACTCAGCAAAAACCGTTGAGGTAGAACTACTTTCATTTTGCTTAATTTGTACATATTTCAAAAGGTCCAAAAGTAAAAAAAAAAACTAACTGCACTTAATTCAATAAGAACTATTCTGCATGCAAGAAAACACAAGAGAACAAAAATCACCGAAATCAACATATGTACTTACCACCATAACTACGGTTGACTAATTGATCATGATCACACTCTGCTTCAGAGATTTCATTACTTAGTTTAGAATCATTACCACTATTGTTGCTTGAGTCGTGATTCCTAGGGGGAGGGGGAGGTGGCGGAGGCTCAGGGCTCCCGGATGACTGAGGTAGGTTACGGAGAGATCCTGTGTAAAACGATAGGAGAAATTTAAAAAAATTGTTTTTACATTTTTACAAACAATATAATTTTCACCCTACTTAAATGGTCTCTGAGTCATATGCATTCTTTCCTTTTAAGGTCAAAACATACTTGCGATTTACATTTTCTGGGTGTCAACTCTTTCATTTTGAATTTTTCTTTTCTTTTCCTGATATTTTAAACAAAATTTTCTGATTTTTGTGCGAATAAATTAACACTGGTTTGATTTTACAAACTAACATGTTTAAAGAAAAATACTTATTAAAAAATGCTTGAAGCACTCAGACCACTTTTCCTGATGTTTTCCGCATTGTCTGTTTTAAATTTGCCATAGACATCCTAATTAACCATTTTCTATTTGAAGGTTTTCATGAATGAAGAATAAGGATGACATTTTTGTGATTTAAAAAACACAGAGTTCTAGGTTGAAAAATTCCATATTTTCACACTGTTCATCAATACTTCAAATTGATATTGCACAGCTGGAAATTGAGTTTTAGAGGTCAAGTTTCTTGAATCAACGAAAGCACAAGACTGAAAAATAATTTTAGAGAAAGTTAAGTTTGAAGTATAGAATAGATAAAAGAATGAATCACTTACCGACACTTCTCCTTCCTACGGAATTTCTACTGCCATAATGATCATATGGTGCGCCATATGGACCATACTGACTGCCATATGGATCTTCATCACCACAATTGGCAGGATCATCATATTCTGGCGAAAATGGTGTGTTGTTTGGCCCAGTGCTGACTCTGGAGTACCGGCCATTTCCTGCTCGTGGCTGTGGAAATATGCAATCATAAGCAAAGTTGATGAATAGAAAGTGTAATTGGCACCACTACAAGTTTTGCGCCAAGAAACTGCATTAAGGACAGCTTGTCACTTTCCGGACAAAATAAATCAAAAGAACTATTCGTAATTCGGTACCCAGTTGTCAAACTTCTCAAACTCATCAAAATTTTAAAGAAGAACTAATGTACGAAATTATTTGGAAATTTTACGTAATAGTTCTTTTATCGTCAAGATTAATCTCTGAAATTTTCATGAAAGTATGGGCAGAAGTTTTAGACAAAAAAATTGAGACAATTCTGAGATGTTAAGCAACATAGCATCTGAGGGTATATGGCACTCTTTATACTTCGGCTAGAGGGTGAGAAGCTATAGTAAAGGCAAAAAAAAAAAAAAAAAAATAGGCAGATATGCAGTAAATACGTAAGTCAAATTCGATCTGGTAAATAATCAGATGAAAAAATTTGAGTGAATGTCCAGATGAAGATGAGAGATCTCATCACACTGAACCATCAAACTGAATAAAAGAACGAACAAAATATGAAGTGGCGGAATTGCTTAATGGGCCTTTTGCAAACTCTTACTAGAGCAAAAATAAGAGTTGTTCTTTGTGGATAATGTCTCAAAAATCACGATGAGCGCATCAGCAAACTCTGAAATGCACTCCTAACTTCACTATCTGCGTGAGAAATTTGCGTCTTTGCAAGCTTCCCACTTCAAAAAAGATACTCCAGCACAGATGACCATTTCGTTAGGGGAGTCGTTCCATTTAACCCCCCCTCAACATGGCTGATGCTTCCACGCGCAAGTTGAGGAGGGCACGAGGTCAATCAAGGTGGATATCTGTCAACCCTAGGAAAATGTGAATGTAAACAAGTCGATTGTTATCAGGTGTTTAGAATCATCGTCCTGTCACATGTGTTTCGGCGGATTGGCATTCGCTATGTTGAATGTTGCGTAGTATCCTTGTGAGCAGGACTTGGATGGAATGACTCCTCTAACGAAATGCTCATCTGTGCCGTGGTATCATTTGTGAGGCGGAAAGCTCGAAAAAAAGCAAATTTCTTGTGTAAATTATGAAGTAAGGAGTGCAATTCAGACTTTGCCGATGCGCTCATTGTGATTTTTGAGACATTTTCTATGAGTAACAACTCTTATTTATGCTCTAGCAAAAGTTAGCAACAGGCCCATTATTTGCCCAGCAAATTTTTTTTTTTCTAAATGTATATATACAGTAAGACCTCGAATTATCGGATCGCAATTTAACGGACTCTGTGATTTAATGGATTCGGCCTCCGGTCCCGTGAAATTCGATAAATCGAGGTCTTACTGTAAACACACATCCTCTGTATTGCTTGAAATGATTTTGAAGATATCAACTTAATAAATTTAGCTTTGTATCGTTTTCAAAATTTTTACAGAATAATAGTAAATCAAACTGAAAAAATTCCATACCTGCAACTTGATAGCTCAAGAACAATACCGCCTATCTGCAAACTGACAATTTTGCAGGATTAAGAAAATACTTTCGGATTTTTGCAATTTTGAGGTTATATGTGCAATTTTTTTGCATTTTATAGCGTTCCCATGTAGAATTGGGAAAAAGTAAAAACATCAGCTTGCGAATGCATCAAAACTACTAACTCATTTTCGCCAAAATTATCGATTAGACGGTATCATTCCTTAGCCCTCAAATTGCAAGGAATTTGTGAGGAATAAATTATTTTGAGGACAAAATTAAAAATATATCATACCATTGACTGGGAGCCCGAGCGCTGGTGAATATGACCATTTGAAGCAGGCGAGTGATTCAGTGTACCACTATGGCCATTTTGATGAGGGAACGTCTGGAACTGGACATTATTGGCTTTGGAGGGATCCATCTCTTCTCGGAAACCAAGCAAATGGAATGTTGCATACGGGCATATTTCATCATCCACACCTCCGGAAAACAAAATAAAGAATTAAGAAGATGCGCAAAAACAACACAAAAATAAATTATATCCGAATACTTTAAATGGTTCCGATTTTTACTTTTACATGGAACTAGTTGCTCACGGTTGTTGCCAACATACGTTTTGTACACAGGACTGTTGTTTTTTTCTTGATATTTCTTCATGAAAAGAGAAGATGGCAAAAAACTCACTAAAAAGCACCCGTAAGAGATATTAAGTCACAAACACGAATTTTTGGGTTTGCTAGACCCTCCTCCTGCAAAAAAAAAATAAAATTGAGGGACTGTCTGAAATTATTACATAAGATAACAGACAAGGCTCATACTTTTTCACTTGGTAAACCCCAATTTTTGCCATGTAGTGACTCTGCCTTTAGTGAATTTTACATCACCAGAGGGATTTAAGCTGAATCACTTTTCTTTGACTCCTCTTTATGGGAGAGATCGTATATACCCTAGTATGACTTGAGTGAAAACCAGTGGCGAAGCGTGAATGATCGATTATCGATATTTCCCCATTTGAAGCTATGGTAAAGAATCCATTCTTAAGGTGTTCGTTGCGAACACCCTCTTTATCGATCCTTTTCCATAGGTTTGAATAGCAGATCAATCGATACATTGCAAAACATGCTACACCACTGGTGAAAACCACTCAATGAGTAACTCCATCCCAAGCTAATTTAATTTTACATGAACTGTAGCATCTGCGGAGCTAAAAATGAAACAAGTTACAGGTTTTAATTTGTTCGGAAAAAAATAGTTTTAAGAACACAACACAGTGTAACAAACAGATAGACAAACATTCAAAATAAAAACAAGCTATCCAATCCATTTTTACATGTATGTGACTGAAAGAAATGGTTTCTTAGTTCTTTTCTCATCAAATATATTTTAAGGTGCCACTGAAATTCGAAGTTTTTGACACTTCCGTCAAGATTGTTTCTACTGATAATTTTCTTAATAAAATCATATTTTACTAGTGAGTACATGCATTATTTTTTACTTCACTTGAACCACTGTCATTTAATTAAACTTGGACAAATTCAGCAGTTTCACAAAGGTAATTCTAAAAAATAAGAAAGCGACGGGGGACAACTATGTTTCATGCATCAAACTGAGTTATCACTGTTGAGAAATCTAGAGAATTCACAAGAGAGAGAGAGAGAGAGAAAGAAAAAAAACTGGACAAGAACTAAAGAAATCTGGAGTTAACGGTAAAAAAAATTCATGCAGTGTTCACAAAGGAACGAAAAGAATCGATACTTTTAAAAAATAAAATGTGACTTTATCTTTAGTCCAGGTTCTTATGTTCAAAAAAAGCTTCCCGTGGAACGGTAAGTGAAGCAAGTGTGGAAAATATCTTAATCTCTTCATTTCGATGCGTAAAAAAAGAATTTCGATGTTGTCAAGCTCAATTTTGCGTCCAACCCCCCAAAATCAAGATGGCGGCCAAAATGGGGGCTCGGGGGGTGAAAATTATGGAATTTGATTTTGATGTCATGGTTGGGGTCAATTCTTATGTAATTTTGGTCGTAGAATCCGAATTTGAGGTCCAAAATACTCTCCGACCCAAAGGGATGCCCCAAATCCAAGATGGCCGCCAAAATCTCCAAGATAGGGTCAAAA